CAAGATGGTAGAAGTTGTTTGCAGTGAAGGTTGGGGGAGTTCATTTCAGTGTTTGTTTATTTCAGTTTGTTTTACTGCAAAAAAATCAAACCCATCAATATYGTGGTTTATTACTCTGTCAGTTTTTCAAAGGCTTCAGAGCTTTTTTCTTCCCTTTTCAGGGAAAGTTTTCTSTTAGTTATCACATTGCCAGAGAGTCATTAATACAGGCACAATGTAACAGATGAAAAATCTCCTGATTTATAATTTATAAAGAGCTGGAAGGAAAAAAATCTTAACTTTGGACTCGGGAATCAGCGTAACTTGTGCAGTGGTGATCCTATAACTCACCTGTTATACATAACAGATGTCACAGGGACACAGAGAAATCCATCACAAATTTACCCAGATCTTCCCACCGTTTTCAAACATACACCGGTACAGAATGAAAGGTCCTTATTCCTCTCCCTTTATTCGTTTTAACCTCTGACTAACACTATCTAGTTTTATTTTTTATTTAAGTAAACTGAGATTTCAACAAAACCACTGAAAACTTTGTGAAACTGGACATAGCTCAAAGCTCCAAATTTCTGTTCAGGATCAATGCAAACTTTTCTGTCTCCCTTTGAGAGGATAAAAATCCCAGAAAGAAGAGCAGGAACCTTTTCTTTATACCCAACCTAAACAGCTCCACGTACCTTTAAAGTACCYRCACAAAACTGAAACAGGGTCCCYTGGGACCTGTCMCTGTCACAGCSAGATCAGAGCTGCCYCTMCTGAAGAAGCTGCAGCCCCCCACAAATCTCTCCTCAAAGCAGCTTCTTCCAATGCATAAAATTATCGGCAGCATTTCATGGTAGCTACAGAAACAGGAATCTTTTCTAATGTTATTTTAATTCATATTCTACTGCCAAACATTTTTAGTCGTGTCTTAAATCAGGTTTCCACAAAAAAAGATTTTTAAAAAATTATACTGTAGACAAAGCTCTTTAGTATCATGAAAAAATGATCTGAAAAGTAAGAACACTAGAGCAGAAAATATAAAATTTAGTGAAAGCACCTAGACCATCTTCAAGAACCTTCCAATCCAAACCATTCCATGATGCTGTAATGATAATCACAGAAAGTCTCCATGTAAGAGCTCTTGCAGATAAATCCATTTTCTTTGTGAAGAAGCACTTATTTCTGCAGGAAGAATGCTCTTCAGCATGGCTACACTGGACACGAGGAATATCCAGCTCAGGAACTGACGGTGTGTTTGGGTTTGGGGCCGTGCAGGATTGCCTGTCCCCGCAGTTAATGAAAACATCCATCCTCTGTAACCTGCGGCACGGATCACAGGACAGTCCTGGATGGATACAGACAGGGCAGCAGCAGAACCAAATTGGCCACACAG